ATACCTTACTTTGCCGGGTTTGCCACACGACAACCCTCACCTTTTTTAAAACTGACAGCAACCCCCACCTTTTTTAAAAACTAATCGATAGCAGTGGAATGCAGATTTGAAATCAGCGTCAAAAAATACGCCTAGCGGTATGGGTCCCATTTCAAATGGCCACTTCGACTTGGGATCCTTCCCTTGTTAGTGGAATTATGAATTGAGTTGAGAAACTGCATGTTCGCCTAGAACGCTTTCAGACATACCGAAAAATTTATCCTTTTCATAACGCTTTCCGTATCCATACTGGCAATACGGCTTGCACGCCGGTGTCGAAAAAGGGTGATCTTGAGGACAATAGTAACGTCGCCCGTGATGAAGTCCACATGGATGGAAGGCATACGGTCTGCAGACGCCCTGAAAAGTATATTTTTTAGTATGTTTATTGCACTCTTTGATGAGTATTCCCCGAGGGAGACATTGGAGCATCGCCAGACTTGAAGTGATGAAACAGTTTCTTGAAAGTACTCTCGCTTGTATCGCTTCCTCTACCTACCTTCTGCTGGTACGGTCCTCCTGTAACTACGCCAGAACGTTTTACCCATTCCCAAGCCTTGTGGTCATAGCCTCCCTCGCACCTGTAAATGAATTTAATTGCCAAATGATGAAGCCAGAAGTATTTAAAAAGTCCCTAAAAATGAAGATTTTGGAGCGCTTTTTAGGTTTGATTTTCTGAACGTCCTCCCACGAGAGCAGGAGAAATTCAAGGCAGTTGGCAGCTAATTGAACATAGCTGATGTCCCGATGCTATAGTTTTGTTGTGTATGCTACACAATCGCTGCACAGTAAAGCGCATTGACTGCAAAAACTGTCATTCCCTTCAAAATTCCTTGTTGGTTGTTTTTAGAAATTTTTTAAAAAATTCTCAGCCTAATCGATGAGTAAACAAGTTTTTCACAACCGATGCTAAGGAAGGGACTTCAGCCGAGGATAGCTTTAAACATATGACGGAAAGTCGGGGAAAAAGGGAAGTCTCATGCTTAATATCTCTTTTCATTTATTGTTCACCCACCCGTCTCCGCAGAACCTTCCACAGCACGAGAGAATATCAGTGTCCGAAAGGATTGTCTGAAAAATTGCTGACTGAGAGCATTATTCTTCCTGATACGAGTGATACATTTCCGAAATTTTCGAAGTGACAAGTTGAGATGAAAGAGAGAAAAGACATAAATAGAGCAATTCAACGAGTTTGAATGTGATGGTGCCTACACCAACGATTACGGCTCTTTGTCTAAATTGTTGAAATCATCCTTAAGGAATTCCTCCTGTTCGTTCAAACCGTACTTCAAAATTGAGCCCTCTAAGTCTATATCACATCAGCGGAACACATAAATTTCCGGTCACACACCACTACTACACCTGAGAATTATATCCAGCACCTGTAATTTGCCTTTTGTTTGTACGCAGATGCGATCGGACATTGTTGATGCGGCGGAGACTGCCCAGCACGAGCCTGTAACGATCAGCTTCGAAAAGGGGTGAATGGACTGTGGAACACAACCTGGTTTTTGTCTGGTAACATTAGGAAGTGGCTCAGTCGAAATTCGCGAAGCCACCAATTTATTGGATCGGCCACATGGGTTTATTAGGTTTACTGATACATCAGCAGAGGGTATTTTTTGCTTGAAGGCACAGTTCACGAAGAAATGGTTTCTGAAATTTCCTCATAGGATGGAATTGAGGCCCTTCCTGATACCATATGTGCCGATGTCAGGCCAAGAAACGTCCTAGATAGGGCATAACAAGGGGCCGGACATCGTATCGTGTGAATGCCACACCCCCAGCCGGACGAGTCTCAACGGTATTGTAAAGGCTGCACTATCTCAAGGTAGTCCCATGCCTGAAGTTCTAACAACTTGTCACGACCCATGGTGACAGTGGAAAGCAGTTTTAGACAATTTTGACTTGATGTAGTCAGCTCTCTCCGCAATTGTCACAACAGAAATCTCGTCCGAATACCCCTTCCATGCCATTTCCTTCATGGTAATCACGTCCAACCTCTATTTCCACTACTTTGGAAAGCTTTATTTTTCGCAAAGAAGGTGGATTCTTTCGCGGATGCACTACACTACATCAACACTTCCTCTTTTGAACTTAAAATGAATACCTCAAAATTACCGTGAACTGTTCCTTTAACTCTTTGCAATGGATAATCACAAAAAACTAGAACACCTCCCATTGTCACGTACTAGTCGAGCAATTTCTGAACCTTGGAACTATCAGCAACCGTTCTGTGAGAACAATTTCCCCTGGTTGTCAGGAACGGAAAAGTAGTAGAATAAAAAACGCTAGGGCGACAGTCATTTGAGTACCGGGACAGCCAAAAAAGGACAATAGCACCGACTGAATCATCTCCCGCCCTGCTAAACATTATGCAGGGATAGACTCATCCTACTATGGTATACGTGGATGCCAGTTGCAATCCGCATTTCGGAAAAAAATCCTCTGACGGAAAAGCTTTAAAAACGTCATCGTACCACATTGCGACTGGTCCCGAACGTATGTTATGGACGAGCAATTCTTCCATACTATGCGAGAGTCAAAGCTGTAAAAATTTTTTGAATTTTAGAAGACAGGAGTAGCCAGTAAAAAATATTTAGCGATAATTGTAAGAACGGAGAACGTTCCTGGATCTAACTTATTAATCTAGATCTTAATATTATGGATGTATTAGGTAGCTTCAGTGATGTAATGCATAGATATACTGCTACATATAATCCACCGAGTGTGTGTAGTAGCTGCTTTCATAGTAGGCGAGCGCGCGAGCCGGCAGGGGGACTACCCGTCCGGCGGTATCAACCAAAATTCAGTTGTAAACAAGGGGCAAGCGCCGTCCCAGGTCGCTCGCTCACGGGCCGGCCGGCGGACTATGAAAGCAGCCAGTGATGTGTCGATGTGTTTGTTTGTGTGTGATTACTGGATATTCATAACTTCTGTTCCTCTGGACCTAGAGCTCTCAGAACTGAAAAGGATAAAGGCGGCGAGTACAATCACTGATGGTGAGTGAAAGGACACCGTGGCAACTGATAGAGGTTAACAAGAGTTCTACGAAAACGGGTAAAAGCGCTCCCAAAAGGGAGAGTTCGTCAGCAGTTTCGTCAGCGTCAGTTCGTGTTATGAATTCAGGGATCATGTTGGATCTTCATGATGAATCATTTCGAATTAGCGCTCAAACATTCTAGGCCGCAGGGCTACAAACAGAAAAGTGCAAAAATAAAGAAGAAAGTAAAAAATCGATTTAAAAGTAAGTAGAAAAAATAGTAGGAAGGGTTAGGTGTTGTAAAAAATGGAGTTTTGCAACATAGGGTGTTTTAAGTGACCTGGGTGTCTACCACGTAAGTTTCGTATTCGTTCTTGGCGGCTTAGCGCTTGACTGTGAATGCGACAACAAGGTGGCTATAACACGGCCACTTTTGGGTGTGTCAGTGGACTAAGGCGGTTTTGGAGCTCACATGACGCTCTGTCGAGGTCGTTCTTCGACTCGATGATGTCATAACGCTATCTTCGTTTTTTTTATCCTAGGGAAACATCTAAGAATCCGGAACTCTCCATTGTCATTCCTTCTTCAGTCCAGTAATCGGTATAAGCTGTAATCGCTGTTCTCAAAAAATTTTGATATTCCATTCTTCGAGGTAGTCCAGAAAATTTTAAGAGCTGACAATAAGCTGGTAATAGCTATTTGGTTGAGTATTTGGAGCAAATTACCTTTCAGGAATGTCTTCATTGGTTGTTTGCTCGTCAGCCTTCTTGACCTTATACAGTTTGCGGGCATTCCTGATATAGTCCGTCTTCATTAGATGGGCCATACGTTCCTCCGCTTTTGGATTGTATTCGGCCGGAAATTCATTTCAAGTAAGGTTTGAAGTGAGAATTGTACTTTTACATGAAATAAAATGAGACAACAAGGAACTACCCTACACAGAGAGAAAGCACTTTCAAGCATGTAGCATGTAAGTACTCTTAAGTACCGGGGCTCATAACTGTGGACCAAATTAGGGAAAATTATGGAAAAAGTTGTAAAATTACACGAACAAACCCTAACCTTGAAAAACGGCTGATGTTTGTTCACATATTCCACAAGCGCTTCACCAGTCAAAGTATCAGAATCTTCTTGAGTTTGTTGAGCAAGAAGCTCCTCTGAAAGTCTATGATTGTTCAATGAATTGGGACTGCCTGTACAAATGAGTACCTTCCCACTGTAAACAATTAAAAAAAAAGATCTTTTTCTTGCAAACTACATATATATGAATGGTAAAACAGTTGTGTAGAAGCCCAATGTTGATCTTTTTGAAATGGAGTAAAGGCCAATTGTTGACGGAACCAAGGTTGATGGAAGGAGCATCCACTTCTACCTGATGTTTGAGGTGTTTAAGCTCATAATTCTCAACCCCAGAAAAATCATCTCATCATCTGTAATCCACCACTTTTCGTACCACTGATTAGCGAATTCCCTGAATGGAAACCACCCTTGTTCTATTCATCGTCTTCAACAGCCAAAAAAACAGATCAAAAGCCTCTCATCGTTCGACTTGCCTTCTTTTTGAGGCTGCAAAAACTTTTTCACTTGATCGGCTTAACGGTCGCTTTGGTGTGCATCTGATATCACGATTTATTGACGGGAGCTAGCCGTTGAATAGCTTTCATTCATCTCTTTCACGGTGTTTTCATTTATTTTCGTACAACAGCAAAAAAAAAGGCATAATCTCTGTGGCATGCATGATATGTATGTAACTTGATCCTTTTTAACCCATTAAATACTCCAAGACTTATGCCTGCCTAATGAAAGGCAGTATTTCCACAGTGACGGATTGGCTGCTTTTCAACAACACCAAATATACGGAACTCCTGGAAAAAAG